TTGTTTTGCTGTCAGACAACTATTCATGCAGTTATAGAAATCTATAATGAAATATCTCAGCTGTCTGAAAAAGAGAGTGGACAATTTTCCAATAWAATTTAATTGCCTTTATGCCAAATTAAGAAGTATACACATATCCTTAGCAAGATAGTCCCAGTGCACCAAGATATATTTCTTTTGTATTTTGGTTGCTGGCCACCAAGTGCTCCTTAGTTATTAAATCGACTTGGAGATTTGCTGAAAATCTGAGAAAGAAATTAGTTCCTGAGACTGTCCTTTTATTTTACTTTTTTAAAAGTAATAGTTTTCTTTAAGTTGATCTGTTTCATGTCTATTATTTACTTGTATGTTGTGTGATACGTGGAAGAAGATTTACATTGAACTTTTGTTATATGTACGTTGTTTTCATTATATAGACTGCTTGARAATAGTGCGCTCCTGGGTGATTTTGAACATGCTACAATGAAATATGAAACTATCGTCCTTGGAAACACCAGCTAGAGGTTTTATGGACTCTCTGACCAGCTATGCTCTTATCATGAACAAAATTCAGCAGTGTCGAGTAAAATTACTAGAAGGCAATAAGACTTTGGTTATTATGCTTATCAGTCATTTCTCTTTTTCTTTTTCTCTCTTCTTTTTGTTGCAAGTAAAATTCCCAATTTCAGGAACAATTTATTGAAATCAGGTATTTAGCCATTCATAACCACTTSAATAGAAACGTTTGTTGGATACGCATCTAGCAATATGACTGAATTTGACATTGAGAAATTAATCTGCATGTATGTTACTGAATATTTGAGTTGGCAAAAATCCCTTTATTAGATACATTGTAAAAAGCATGCATTCACAGTTATTGCTGTTACTGTTCCATTTCTGTGTCATATGCTTGCTACTTGTAACTTTTTATATAAAAATACATAAAACAATGTATAATAATTTCGTACCTTGAGTTTAATGCAATGTTTTCTTTTACCTAATTTACCAATCCTGTGTAAGTCAGGAGATTAAACTCAAAATGTAGCTCCTAGGAACTTGAAGCACAGATATAGCAGAGAATCAACTGCCTTTTCACCCCTCACTGAAAAGCAGAATACATTATATTTTTAAGATTTAAAGGAATTCATAATAGGTTGATCACTTAATTTAATTTAAAAGATTTGTGATAAACCGTGTTTGCAGTTTGATACTCTTAAATAATTTATTTCCATGGGAAGTATTAGGAAGTTTTCTTCAGTATGGTAGAGTTGCAGATTGTTACCAGTTACACAAATCTTATGCTTGGGCTCCAGTTTTAGAAATACAGACATAAGCCACTTCTTTAAGCAAGATAAAATTATATCTCTAATTCAAGCTGTAAGTATTAGTAATCAGCACCAAAATCAAACCTGAAAGGTTATGTTATTAAGGAATTATTATATATTGAAGAGCCACTATTGTGTGAAGGTGAAAGTCCTCTCATCTAAGAATTCCAAAACCATGGATAAAATCACAGTTTCACTATCTATTTAAAGTCTATCTTCCAAAWTCTGTTTCAAAACAAATCCCATCATATTCTTAAACATCATGTATCATTCATAGTTGTTAGGTTTTTCTGCATCAAATGTTGTTAGATTTATTGAAAAAAGTGGAACGAATTCCATCTCTCTTCCCAAAGTATAAGTAGATGGGAAAATTAGATGGGAAAACTTAAAAGACTGACATAAAAAAATAAGGTGATCTATGAGCTATTTAAATATATAATACTTAATTTGCATAATTAAAAATACAGAAAATCTGATTTCTACAGCTGTGGCTTAGTAATGACATGAGAAGAAGGGTTTCAGGTATTTGACTACTTTTATAATTACAATATATTTTGCAACATTTTTTTAGCGCAAATAATTGATTTGTAATCACATATTACAGTCCTCTGTCCTCGGCAGTGATTGAGTCATCCCTCAGTTACATGGGTTTGCAGCATGCACCAATAGTTCATTYCCAGATCAGTATCTCTTCACAAGTTCATATGATTTATCACAGCTTTTTTCCTTAACCTTTCCAAGTCCTAGCTCATCATCCTTTTTTWAAGTATGCTATGTTAAGATATTTACCACATCCATGCTTAAGATGGATGTATCCATTATAAAATACAGGCAAAATGAAAGACATGTTAAAAGAAGTGCATACACATGCACACACTAATATGTATATTTAGAAATATTTCCTATTGGAGATAGTGTATAAATAAATATATGAGAAATCGAAATATTTAGCTTTCAATGAATTATATTGGACTCACAGAAAAATGATGAACTTGTTTTTTAAAGCTGCTGCTATTTAAGTGCCTAAATCCCACTGTAACACAGAGTTTGTCTAGTCCCTCTGAGACAAGTATATAATAAAATAAATTTTACGATTTTTTCAGTGAAGTGTTAACCGAAAGAACTAACTGTAGAGGACACGGATGTTAATAATCACATTGCGTGCACATCCGTGCTTTCTTTTAAAAATATCAAATTGTGCCACAGAAAAAGGAGGGAGAAACATAAAACCCTGTGTAAGCAAAACAAGTCAAGCAAAGTTAGAATGGTAATTCTTASGTGATCCTGGAAACTCCTTTGGAAATATTGTCTAATAGCTAGGTATACCGTTAAACAAAAAACATTGTAAGTAACAAAATGTGTGTGCACTGGGGGAACAGGGTCAAATTGTTTCTACTAAGAATACAAACAAAAACAAATTTAAACCCAGATAAAATATGATAATTGAAATTTTTAATTAAAAGTAATAAAATTCTTTATATAGTCAATTTAAATAATAGCCTAATCCACTATACCACAAACAGTAAAGATAACATTTCTTTCATATCACACWATAGTAGGGTATCTTAATGTGATCTATGAACACAAAATATTAAAATAAAATGGATTTTTGCTGGAAGCAAACTGTATCCTTTCCTATTAGTATTTTTCATTATTATGAAGCCAGTTGTTTAAAACCAGAAGGAAGTTCAAACAAGCTTTCCATTTTGTGGAAAGGAAGTTTGGGTTAAATTAACACCGCTATGTGAGTTAATATTGCATAATACAGTAAATTACTGTGGATTAGWTGAGCTGTTAGTCTTAGCCTCATGCATTTTACCTCATGTTTGCCTTAATCTAAAACTAAGAATGATAGATAAATCATTTTGGTGTRTCTGGTGCAATGAGTGTGATCTACAGCCATGTTGACAGTATACTTATTTCTTACATAGTTTTCAAAAAATGAGGTTTTGTTATCATAGTGCATTGAAATATTATTTATAGTTTTGTGAGATATTTCCCCCCTCCATGAATATAGTGTTATATATATATACTTTTCTTTTTCCTGGTATTTGAACAACCACTCCCAATCATGTTTCTCTGCTCCAGGAAATATGGCCTTTTCAATTTGTCAAGGACTCTCTGCAACATCATTTAAAAATCTCAAGAAGTCCATATTGTAAATCACCCTCATTTAAACCTTTTCTATCTTCACAATTCTAAAAACAGCTTGGGGGGAAAAAAAAGGCTCTGATAAATGTTAGCAGCTTACCCCTCAATTTTTTTTCAATTTTTATGCTGGAGATATTCTCTTGAATCTATCAACAATGTAACYAGTGAGAGAAAGTAAAGATTTCTTGCTAAAAAGAAATTGATAGCACACCTCTCCTTCCCCCCACCCCCCAAAGAAAAGAGACTCAGAAAGATAATTAGAAGAAGAAGATGAAGGATTTTGCTCATACYTATTCCCAAGTTTGCAAACACATTTAGGACAGATAAATTCTTTAGCCACCAAATAAAAGCATACTGTTCGTGTTCAGCTGCAAAAGATAGAATACTTTAGAGAACACTGCCCAACAAACAAGAAATTGGCCTTTTGTGTGTGTCTTCTATTTTATATATAAAAGCCTCCCTGAAGCCACAAAGATATTTCAGCTGAGGGAGCAGAGCTGAAGTGCTAAGACATATACAAAGGACAAAAACTGCACCATTCAACTCTTTTGAACACAGAAGTCTGTATCTGATCTGAAAATATTTTATCTCCTCACTTCTGACTCAGCATTTGATGTGAAGTCTTACACTCACAACTCCACTGCTCTTCATCATTACCTTAGGATCATCTCTCTTTACACTTTGATGATCACTTTACATTTTTATCACTTGCTGTCTTTCATTTCTGTCCATAGTGAGTTTCGTTCGAGTTTAGTTCTGCTCCCATCTCACCTCAATATTCACTGAAAATGCTGTAAACCAACCAACTGCCTTTGTGTTATCCTTGCATCCACCAAGCTCTTTCCCATCTGTCACTTTGGAGCCATCTTAACGATACGCTGTCTATTAAAAAAAAAAAAAAAAAAAAAAACAAAAACAAGAGATCTCTGCATATCCTAATCCCCCTCAATTTATATAGCACAGCAAAAGCTATGAAGGTGCACTGGAATGGACAGGAGGATGGGCTCATTGGGCACACTGGATTTGTATTTTAATGACTGTGCATCGGGGKTCTCTGGGCTGTCTGCCTCTGTGTTGGCATGTCTGCTCCTGTGATAGCCATACCTCAGTGTCCATCTCTCAGTTTTTCTTCTCCCAGTTTGCACCATTGTCAGACCTTTTCCAGCACTTCCATGTTTTCCTCTGTGCTGTATTTATAWTAGTCTGTATCTCCACATGACATAAATCCTTGTCCTGCCTTCCTTCACATACTTGTTGAAATAGTGCCTGGCAAACACCTGCCAGTGGTGTGGCAGAGCTACCACCAGCAAGGTAAGAACATCAGCTACCAGAAGAAGCAGGAGTTGCTGCTTCCATCCATTTTCTTTCCCAGGAAAAGGAATTGTGTTGATTCACAATCTCCCAACAAGGTCAGTATGGGAGAGAAGGGAAGCTGCTATGCCATTCAAGCAATGAATCCTAACTGGGAGAAGAAAGACAATTTAAGAAGCCCATGATGAAAAAGGAAAGAACAAAACTGCTCAGATTTCTTTACCAAAGTAACAGGTCTGACCAACACTGCACAGCGGCATTTCAATTCTCCATTCTCAGATAAAGGAAAACTGCAGTTCAAGACTTCTTATCTCAAGGAGAGGGATGCCACAACTGTGAGTACTAATTCTGTTCAGAGCTCTGGAAGGACTTAACAGCTTCTTGCATAAATGYAGGCAGACAAGGACTTACTGGGCCTGTGAGGGCAGCCTTGTGCTGCTACATGCAGCAYCTGCAACATGTAGTTATTTGCATCTTCTAAGTTTTCCATTCTTCCAGTGAGATACATGACAAAAATACTCAGCTACTTAAAAGGCGGTGGCTKTAAAGGAAAGCAATTACTTGGTATTTAGTGTAGTTGGATGTGAAAGGTACCTGTGGCACTCRTTGCAGCTATTGTGAAAAAAAAACAGGTGCTTTTTTTTTTGCACAGATGCTAGATTAATGTATCTGGATAAAGGAAGCATTCAGCTGGATCACCTGCTTCACTAAATGAAAACACCTTTCATCTGGGGTTTTACTTATAAAACTGCAGTGCCTGATTCATGCTTTAGTCACATCCTCCCTCTAGATTCTGCTTTTTTATGAGTTCTAGCTGTAGTTAGGAAAAATCAGTTTGTTGAAAGTGAATGCCTTTTGCCATCTTTAGTGAAGCCCAAATATGATTAATAATGGGGAAGGARAACTTCATTCTCATTTCTTAGTGCTAGAGGATTTTTCATCACAAGTAATCYGCTCTTTCCCTTTGTTTTAAAAATCACTGTTTAAAAGCTAAATTAATGCTCTATACTTAGGTGATCCATGTAACATTGAAAAGGGAAGTTAAACAATGTAAAAGAACACCAGAAATCTAAAGCAAGCATATTTTCCCAATGATCAAAGCAACAACAGCATTTTCAGAAATTACAAGACTAACATTGAACCCTTGGTTGCTATATGAGCTCAATCCTAGCTTTCAGTTTTGCAATAAATTTCATATTATCACAAGATGAAGCTCAGCTGAGGATTATGAGTGATTTTATATTTGTATACCAATTTAATATTACAAATTTAACATTTAAAAATCTACAAGGAGCTGATATGCTTTATTTTAAACACAAATKATTTTGCTGGTCAAAAAGAATTACTGTATTTTTTTTTTTTTTCAGAGCCAAGTCCCTGCATTTTGAGTTTTCCTTGCCAAATGGAAGACATTTTTAATTCCTTTCCAACTTATTCACTCCCACATTCTACTGACTGGTTTTGGTGCAGAAACCACCCATGGGGTGATTTTGTTTGATATTCTGAGCAATCTGGCACCTCTTTGTAATGAAGCAGTATGAATTACTCTGCSTGCAGGAGGAATTTCTTCAACTGTTATCTAAGTTGTGTGGCAAAGATCCAGGCCCAGAGAGTTCTGCTGTCATTTGAGAATAACTTTAGTGACACAAAGTATCTGGTTACCTTCAGTGTCTTGGTAGAAAGTCTACACTWATCCAGGCAATTATTTACCTAGTAATAATTTAAATTTTCTGTTTTAACGATGTCAGTACGGCATGTCCATGTGTTAATATTGCCAGTTCTTTGATGATTGAAAAAGAGAGTGATGTTAACATGGAAAACCCAGAGTTCATAGCAGAAGGCAGCAAAGG